TGCTTAAAAGATTAATAAAACAATCAACTTAGCAGAGGGGGAAAAAAACCACAAACTATTCCTGTAAGGAAATCGCTTTATTGCCTATACATGTGAATGAGCTGTTCTAATACTCAGGTTCACTGCCTCCTCTGCATTTAATCTCTTCTCTTTTATGTCCTACTCTGATTTTTTTTAAAAGACTTTCAGGCTTTTTTAAAATTAATTATACAAATCATTAGTATTAAAAAGGTAATATAATGGTTTCAAGAACAAGCTTCACAGACTATCTGCATATTTAATCATCTCTGCTAATAAATTTTTAATCACTCATTGAGTTCAGGTTCTTGTCTTGAAGCTTAACTTGATAACAAACCTAGCAACTGGTAGAACTAATTGGTACAGAGTAAGTGAATAATTTATAAGAGGAAAAAGCACTGGGTGTTCTGGAGGTGTGCAGAGACCACAAGTCACAGATATTTCTGGGAGGAAGCAGGAAAACAGCAGCTGATTACAGGAATTTCGTGATACGCTGCTGACATCCAGAGGCCAACAGTCAATACTGTTCACATATGTGAACCAGGCTGTAAAGCGCGCTGTAAAGCTAGATTCATTAAGTTTTAAATATTCATGCATTTCATTAAAGTTAACATTAATTGCACTACCATACACATTGATTATGCATAGACCATAAGTGTTTAACCTCTGAAAGCTTGCGAGTATATTCAAGTAATGGTGTATGTCCCGTCTTCGATGATTTCAGTGAAAGCTTCAGCTACAAAGTTGAAATTAGAAACGGAGTGCATTACAGTGCTAAGGAACAGTAGTCTGAAATACCAGAATGGGAATAAAAATAATTATTTTACTAACCAAACAGAAATGCTGGTGTAAGGTGCAAGTTGCTTTGTATTTTTCTAAAGTAAGCTAATGAAGGTAAGAAAAATTACGTATAAGACTTATTAATGAAAAATGCTAGACTGATTTGCAAGCTACATCTATTAAATAGGTTTAAACAGTTAAATTAATTGGTAGCTGAGTGAGTTCCATTTAGTTGAAGATGAGTAGCTTTTAAACAACGTAATAACAACAAAAAGGCTATTCTCTTGAAATAAGCTGATTTGTGTCTTAAAATGAGACACCCCAAACCTACTTACACTACAGAATAATTCTACCCCCAGGGAAGCACAAAATGCTACCATTCTTAAACCAGGATATAACAGACAACATTTGACAGAAATTCAATTATCCTTGAAAGATCCCACTTGTAGTTAGTTACATACGTAATCCTCTTTTATTTAATGGGTTAAAGCTCTCTTTCAAAACATTTAGTTTGATGAACTGGAGACTTGCTACATGTCAAAAAATTCATTAAGTTACTTAATAAGATTGTTAAGTAAAAACACTCAGAAGTTAAAAAATGTCATTTAATGCCGCCCATGCAACCTTAATTCTAACAGTGTATGTATATGCATTATGAAACACCAATGAATTAACTTTTAATCTCCTCTGAGCCAAAAAGATTTTAAGATTGGAAACTAAGGCACAAAGGGCATGCCAACAAATACAATGCTGCACTTTAGAGCAATCTCTGAGCCAGCTCACATCTTGCAGAGCATACCCCTACAGGGCTAATTACCCCAGATAGAAAGCTGGACTTGTACAGTTCCACTGCTTCCGGTACCTCTGCATGGCAAGCTTAGTTCTCTCTTAGTTCTCTTGGAGACAGAGAGACTGGTTTGCCCAAAATAGTACTGATTTCTCCCTGAGCTGTTAACAACTCCTGATTAGCCAATTTTCTTCATGAAGGTGGGCACTAAAGTGTCGTATTCCTAATTAGAAGCCACAGTTAACACACTGAAATTCTGTTGAAACAGTATTGCCTACACCCTCAGACAACTTTATGGTCAGACATACCCTGAATGGTATAAAAAGCCTTGCCATTTTTCTGACGAGAACATACTGATTGCTAGCAAGGGTCTTGGAAGTCAACGACCTGTACCCATTTAACATGTTTTAAAGTAGTGGGGGATATCAAAGAGTTTTGATTTGGGGGGGAGTGTGTTCGTTTGGTTTTGTTTTTACAAATAAGACCACCTCCTTTATGCTTCTTCCTTCAGTAATATTTAAACAAGAAGGTACCCTGTCAAGTCACTTAAACACCAAACTAGATTTTATTAGTTTTATCATTTTGGTGTTTATGACATAATCATGGATAACCATACAGCTCAGGAAGGGTATGCACATTTGCAAAAAAAAAAAAAAAAAAAAAAAAAATTTAAAAAAACTTTTTTCATTTTGTGGAAGGGGAAGGACACAGGAAGGACATAGTAGAAAGGTCAGTGGGTGATGTGTGAGAGGTAGCTGAGGCACATTTTTCATATATATAAGCTGGTACAAGTGGAGTGCAACACTAGCACAAGGATTGTATGGCTTTATGGATTGTTTGACTGGGCACAAGGTGACAGCTAAATTATCACTCAGGTGTAAAAAAAAAAAAAACTAAAATAAAATCGAAGTGTAAATATAAGTGACATTTAACAAAGAACTTTTCCAAACAAGAGACAACTGAATATATGGAGCTAAGAACTAAATTAAAAGGTAATTAGAAGTCTGAAAGGTTAGAGGCCCTCGTTCAGGTAAGCGTGCAAGCACGTGTTTATTCCTATTCAGGCCAGTACGTGTGCAGTAACTTCATCACTGAACTGGGTAGGAATGCTTCTGGGGGACCCTGAAGAGGGAAAATGCTGGTGCTCTTCTTGTGTCAGAGCATTACTGTTTTTCTCCAATCATACACCGGTTATGTTTAAACCTGTGTTTGATGCTTTCTTGTTGGATTCTTAATGAAACTTTAATCTAGTTCTTATTTAACTTTCTCTTCCTTTTTTTAACAGTAGCTTTAAAGAAACATCATGTAATTGTGTGCAGATTGATACTATGAACTGTGTATAAAAAGAAAATCAACCTATGAAGTAGCTCTTACCTACCATGTAAACCAATAATTAGAAATCCCTCAATACTTATTTACTGAATAGTCCATAGTTCTGGGACACATGGGTTATTCTGTAAATACGTAATCATAGACTGCTTGATTTGATGGCCTATTTTAGCAGCTTCTCTGGAGTTGTAATAGGCTCTCGCATATATGTACTTTTAACTTTTTAAAAAGAGTGGATTTATGGAATCTACCATGATAACCGAGGAGGGGTAGACACATTGAAAAAAAAAAAAAAAAAAAAAAAAGACTTTAAAAAGACTTTGTATTCTCAGTAAGATTTCAATTTAGATTTTCATTAAGAGCTGTCAGAATGGAGGAGACAACAATTTTACAGAGTAAGAATGCTTTGAATACTTGCCAGTTAAAAATTTTCAAATGTCTAAAAATCATGCTCATTAAGCAATACTTCCTTTTTTGGGGGGTTTTATATGTTGGCTTTCTGTTTGTGTTTTTTTTCAATTTCACTTGTGAAAAAAACCCTGAAAAAGCAGGAAGGATTCTTGATGGTTGATGTCTCTCCACCATATGGCATAATCTCCACATTCTCTTTTCTTTCCTGATAAATCCAAAGGTGACAGGTGCTCATTCACTGAGCAGTAAGCTTCTCTACCAAGCATGCTAGCAAATACATAAACACAAATTAAAATTATGGCAAAACTTTCACATGTCCAAGTAGAAGCAGACTACAGTAGATAATTCATTTTGTTTGTCAGATGATCAAAAAAATATGGATGCAGAGAATGTTTCTCCTTATTATATACCAATCTCTGACAATACTAGGCCTAAGAGGTAATCACATTGTTAAGCTAAATCTGAAGAGGTTTTAATTAAAACTATATCTTTGTAATTACAATTTGAAATTATATTTGAGGTTTAAGTGTTAAATTTATTAGACTGTGAAGAGTTTTACAAGGCATTTCTAATGTAATGAGCTCAGGCACCACATATGTTGCATCTTTGGTACACGTTATGAAGAGTTGCTTTTTTAATGAGCTTTAAAAACTGTATTTGCATACCAGAGGAAAAGGTCAGTGATGTGTGGATCAAGTCAGTAAATTAAGTATCACAGTATTATGTTATTATGATTGCCTTCCCCAGACACACAATAACAAAACCATAGGCTACAGTTACCCTACTATTCTAATGCTTCCATCTATATGATCTTGTTGGCTTACACGTACTGGCGCTGCTGTCCCTCAGGTCCCTGTTATCAGTCCCTTGTCTTCTTCATTTTCTCTCCCCACCAACTCCTAAAGCAGAACAGCTGGCATGTCTGACAGTCAAAGAATCAAAGCAAGCACAGGAAGGAGGGGCTGGATTCAATGTGATGGCCCATCTCCAAGCACCACCTCGGGCTCCAGCCTTTACCCCAAGCAAAGATCCCGAGGGCCAGGTCCTGAACCCTCACGACAAGATCAAATCTATTGGACAGCAAAGCAACTGGACAGAGACAGCCCTTTAATCCAAGCCACATTCCACCCGAGTCTTTGCTCAAGAATGCAGCACTATCATCTCTCATTCAAAACAGATACCAAAAGTATTTCTAATGCTATGGTCCAAAAACTGACTCTGTTGACTCTTTCTTGTTGGAATGTTAGATGTTTCATAATCTCTAAGGATGTGCACCTATATTGAAGGTGCTATGCTGCGATAAATAATAAAATAAACTAGGAACCAACTGCAAACACATTCTTATCAGGTTTTCAGCAAAGATTAAATTTCCCTGGATTTACCTTTACTTGTAAATACTTGTTAATGTTGTAAGAATTACAATGTTACCTTTATTTTTTAAGGGCAATTGAAGTTGATTCTCTCTCCAACAGTACTTAACAGCACTCCCATTCTCTCTCAGAGACCGTAGGCATACTCTAAACCACCTTAAGCACTGCATGATATTTTATGCATGTTTATGTATGTCACAGCCAAGTGACACTCCATCTGCATATAAAGATGTAGATCTAATCATCAAAGAAAGAATCCATTAAAATATTACAACAGTAAGAGCAATACAACTGATCAGTTATAAGTAGTTTTAATGGTTTTTCACTTTTTGTATGATAATCCTCAAAGTAGCATTCAAAAATATAGTGCAAAATATTTATTCATTTTATTTACAAACAAAATGTGCAGTTCAGCTTATCCTCACCACAATAAATGTCATTATTCTATGTGATGAATAGGAATTATGAGAAACATTGGAAGAGACAAAAAGTAAATTTTAAACTTAAGAATAAGATCTTCCCTTCAGTTATACTGTTGTTAAAGTTACACAATATTATCTTTTTTTAAATTATTTTCAGTTGGAAAAAACCCCAAGAAGTCCAAGAGAACACTAAAGAATTACATAGGAAAGAATGTTTTTTTAAAACCATAAAATTAATTTTGCTGTGACAATCACAATGCAAAGTTCTTATCCATGTAGAATATAAATTTTTTGCATCTAAAACATAGAATCTTTACAATGTAATGCTTTATCCCTTCTTACTATACAAATTGCCTTTAGGGGAAAAAGTATTCCAATATCTTCCTTTCCCTCTGATGAAACAACAGATGCTTTGGTTAAAGAGCAATTCGTGCGCAATAGTGTTTTAACTTGCAAGGCAGTACTCCTTTATTAAGTTGGTAGAATTCCACTAACTGGATGAGATCAGTAAATCTGGTATGACCATCATCAAGGGTATAGAATAGCTTCCCATCATCTTCCAACTGTAAAAATGAAAAAAGAAAAAAACAGATAGAATAAAATCCTCTTTTGCTATGGTATTTCTTGCCGATTTAAATACTTGTTTGAGAATTCTTCTTGTAGACCAAGATATTCATGACTACTGACAGAATGAAAAATACAGTCATCATTCATAGCAAGATCAAAAATAAAAAACAGAAAAATAATGCATTCTTTAACTTCCCTCTTAAGTTAGGTACATGCCTAAAAGAGAAGAACAATTAAATAAATATAGGAACATTATTTCTGCACTAACAGTACTACTTTATGCCTTTGGCATGATAGCTGGTTAATATGAACACTTGAGTTTTTACATATTGACAGGAAACAACCAAGTTTCAACTTACTCATGGATTTCAACCTTTGCTTCATTCATATCCTGTGTAACTGCTACATTTTGTGTCACCTATTTTGTGAGGTGCAACGCATCTACACACTAGTGCATTGCTGTACTGGATGCTACTTGCTACACGAGAAACTGCCCATCACAAAAGTACCATGCTTCATGTAGTAATGTGTTCTTTGTTGTAGGGGAAAGAACTGCTGCAGATCCAAATGCATGTGTCAGCACAGATACAAGAGAGAAAGAAAAAACTGCAAAACATACCTTGAAAAATTACTTTTGACTTTTAAATGCTTAAAAATTCACAATCAGTATTTCCTTATTCTAGGTTACTGAACATCAGCTCTTGCACAATTTGCACTGCACTGCTGACTATATATTTTCTCGATTTCTTTCCTCTACTGCTGATACATCTAATATCAAGAAGCTTCCGTGCAATAGCAAATAATCAGTGTTAATGTAAATAGAGGGTAAAACCCCACTTTTAAACTCTTCTAAAAAAGAAAAGGGAAAAAAGATACTTTACGAGATTGAGAGAGTAGTGTACAGAAGATTCTGAAGAAGGGCTAGCTAGTAACAGATGGTGTGCTAGGGAAAGATGCAACTATCCTACTTGAGTGCAGGGGACGGGAGAACATATAATTAGTTCTCTTACCTGTAATTAAGATTTCTTATCTGAAGCAGCTGTTGAACTGCTTATGATTCCTGGTTATTCTACCCCTTTCTATCATGTCTGGAAGTAGTTTGTAATTTCTTTATTCTCAGACTTTGGTTAATCCAGGTCAAACACTGCTAGTTAAGGAATTATCAATTTGTGCATGTGTAAATTCCTGTGCTCCAGCCAAGAATCTGAAAACGAATTATCATCCATCGGACCTTCTGATGCATTGTATGCATGCAATTTTCCTGCCAACACACTGAGTACAAGGAAGAGCTGACAATTCAGATGTCTGTCGACCAACACATCATTTTTAGTATATTTTACTCCTTCCAAATTAATCCCAAACCTCAAAGTGAATACTAGACAGATTGCTAATTCTAAAGCAATCAATATTTTGCAAAGTAAAAATTCACATCAAAGTTATGTTGCCCAGGAACCTAACATCTTCTGCAAGCTAACAAGGCTGTTATGAGAGAACATTTATTGGAAAAAGACAGTTCCAGAAATGTATATCAATTCTTCTTGTTTTGCACGGACTACAAAACAGCTAATTTCAGAAGAGACTACACTGAAATTATGTTGTATCAACTCAGAGTAGTAAGGATTAAAAAAAAGTTTAAGCTACCAAGTTCTTAAATTTTCACAGTATGGGATCCCAAATGTATCCCAAAGCTTTTATTTTCAACTTTTCACAATCAGTTCCCTGCCACCCACATGCAATACCTGTTGCACACGTTACTGATGCTAACATTGCACCTGTTAATGTGGGGGAAGCTTGAATTGGCAGGCTGCATGCCCTATCCGAAAGGAAACGTTTTTAAATACCGTATAACCTGAAACAGCCTAAAATGTAAGAGAAAAATAATTACTTTAGAGACTGAATTATTTTTGTCTTGTAAAAAGACTTACTAAATATTTTTAACTTATTTATATTTAGTAGGAAATTTCTCTCCTCTTCCCAGTAGCTGGAATAAGGCAAGAGTTTGGAAGAACAGTAGAATTTGAAGTTCAAAAAGGTAACATTGGTCTCCAATTAATAAGCTACTAACTTACTGCAGGAACACAAAATGCCTTGTTTCTTAGGAAATTATAACTTCACTTAGAAGATCAGCAGCAACTGGAAACGAAATCTTTCCCATATCAAAAAATAATTTTCTGAACTCCTTAGACTGTTGTTCTAGCAAAAACAGAGCATGCGGTAAGTGAGAGTATTGAGAATGCTATGAGGGGTACGAATGCAACTGGAAATTAAATGACAGAAGGGAATTGAAATATGCCTATGTTTGGGGAACTAACAGTTTCCAGATACACATTCTCTCTCTGGATTAGGTTGTTGTCGTTACAGAGAGGGTCTGTTTCCTCATAGGGAAAGAAAAATGGTCTCTTAAATTTGAGAGGTAAATGATATCCCAATGAAGTATAATCATACAGTATTAGTACAGAGTTCAGAAGGTTCTCCTCCATTGTTTGTATATAACACAATGAAAAACCCGAGCAACTCTTTTAACTAACATTGATTCACTCCTCTCCTCCTCCCAAATATTGCTTCAGTTTTCTGAAGTTATTCTATGTGAACTTTTTTAGGGGGTGCTATCAGCTACAAGCCCTAAGTAAGATACACAGAAATTTGGGGAACAATCATAGGGGATGACCCGATCAGAAACAAAACCAAAAAAGTGCCACTACTCTCATTTCTTCTACATGGAGGGTAGAGTACTATGTGGTCTGGAAGAAAGGTTCTTGTGAAGAAAGAAGAGTAAGCTATAGGTCTGCTCAGTTAGTCAAGCATCTGTGGCTGAAACCCATAATGCTGAAGTCTTCCCCATCTCAACAGAAGCAGCCTGTAAAGAAAACAGTATAAACCACTGCTGGAGGGATTGGAAGGGAGAGTGAAAGCTGGCCATTCTGGAAGGAGAATTGGATGATATCTTCAATGAAAACTGATGGAAATGTGATTTCAATTTAGGAAATTTCAGCTTACCTATAAGTAGCTGCACTAAATAAAGGTATCGATTTTTTGCTAAAATTTTCCCCCTGAAAAAGACTTGGAGATGAATATACCACAATAACATGAATCAAGAGAATAGGTCAGCAAAAAATGTTTGACTCCAAATATTGAGAGACAGTATCCTAAACAGATGAGTCAGTGAGATACACACACACATTGACCGCAGTCCATCTAAACAGATGACTAAAAAGAAATGGTGCACATATTGAAAAATGAAAAGGCATTACGACCTTTATTAATACATGATTTTCATGCCATCAGAGTTGTTTCTATTCCGTTTCAAATAGATTTCTCTATTTTTTCAATATACTTTTTAGGATTTTATAATACTAGTCAAGCTTTATAACAAATCAAACAGCAAAGCTCAAAAATGTTCAACTCTACTCAAGAATACTAACTATTTTTAGTGATGCAGGTATTATGTTTATATCATCCATACAAGAGCAAAATAAAAAAAGTACATCAATATTCTACCACAATTATTCAATTATTTTGTTTTTCAACTGTATATATAAACTTAAAAATTTACTTACTGGTACAATTTGAAAATGCTTTATTTTTAATCCATGACTCAATGACAATACAAACGTTTTGGGGTTACTTTGGCTATCACGTACCAGGAATACCCTAAAAGAGATTGAGAATTTTCACAGTAAGATCACTCTGGAAAACCTTTTCAAACATCCAGTTAAAACTGTCATAAATTCGTTGCAGTATGTATTTGTAAAAAGCAGAAATAATATAAATTCCCTGAAGTATGCCTTTAATCAGTATTTCTTTGCAAACGCGTCACTGGAAATACTTTTCTTAAATTCTTCTTCACTTCGTCTATTACGTGTAAAATATGCATTTCTCAGAATGAATGACACTGTGGGCGTCAGTTTTTACACCACATAGAATTACAACGTATCTCTTCAGACAGAAAAGCACCCTCAAAGTTTGTGCTTCAAAAAAAATGGACTCTGACAGTCACCCTAAATCACAAGCACTATAGGGAAAATTCAAAAGGTAGATCAACTGGAAGTTTACAGAAAAAGTAATGCAGGAAATACCAGAATAATTTTCACAGCTGGCCAATATTCATAAATGCACACTCACTTCTGCACATTGGCCAAATTCCCACTGAGAGCTGCACTCTGCTCACTTTATGGCATCATTATTCAAATCACAACACTCTCAATGGCCAACAGTGTCACTGCAGCTAGTTCACCAATAACTTATTCCAGCCAGGTTATGGACAGACATAATTTTGCTATAATCCTGGCAGGATAATCTGGTAAAGACAAAGGATGAATACCAGTAAGAGAGAACTTTAATTGAATCACTGGGTTTGGAATAGCGGTACATAACAGTTCAGAGGACAGAGGGAAGTACCTGATTCACAGCTTTGTAGTGGGAAGAGTCTGAACTATTTGTACTGTGCAGGTCTGGAACAGTTATAGCTAACGAATGCATCAAAGAAGGGAAACGGAGGGACAGCCATTGGCAAGCATGCTCCTCTTTGAGGACACCAAGGAACAGGCAAGATGGACTTGCAGGTATCAACCAAGCAAGCACTAGTGGCCACCTACTTTCGCCCAACCACATACCAGGAATGTGAGCATAACCACATGAAAAGAAAGGATTTCAGAAGAAGAAAGCAGACAAAGGCTTACAGTGGATTTTAACTGACTAACGGCATGGATTCAAACTACTAATTTAATCATCAAAGATTTTAAGAGTTCTATTTGTACAAAGTAAGAAAATACCTGGAATTAAGAAATTTGAAGTCCATAATCATTAACATTTATATCAAAATCCCCATCCAGTCTAATTCGGAGCTCTGATACTAATTCAGTTATTAAAGAGGGATAATTGTCAACTCAGCACATGGTTTGTAAGAGCTCACGGCAAATATAAGGACGACTTCTCAACAGACTTGGGCTCTCCTAACAAGCTCTCTCTCACCACCTAGTGGCCTCTCACCCTCTCCAGGACATGAATGAAAATTTTCAGAGCAGTTAGATATATTCTTTGCATAAACTGAATTTTTTTATACGTTTGTCATTAAGGACTAGCATTAAGGATTTTATTTTATTCAGAAAAATGACACTATAGGAATGTGCCCCTTTGCAGACACTGAAAATGGGGTCTCTACATCCAAATACTGAGATGCACGTTAAACAATACACAAAGTAATCACATTGGGTAGGAGAGAAAATAAAGGTTGATTAGGATTTATGTTCCCATTCTTCAAGTCTTTTGAAGTCCATTTTCTTACTTTTTTTTTTGTATTAATAGCCAAGATAAGCAACATTTGTCCTCCGTCACATAAAAAGATCTTTACTCTTTTCTAACTTTATCACAATAGACCTACTTTAGTTGTCAAAGAACCTTTAAAAAGATCACTTTATTATGAAGAAAGGGTTGTAGTTTACAGAATCTTAGAAATGCTGGTTGGAAGGGAGCTTTTTAGACATGCTGCATGACTCCAAACTGCTCCTTCATAAACTCATAAGGAATTTGCTGAATGACCAGTTGCGTTTTGTCATGGGCCTTTTGGTAATGTTATTGTCCCATTTATCAATCAGATGCCAATCAGTTCACATTCCTATCAACCGTTTATCACTAAAAAGTCTTCAAATGTCCTTTAGGGAGTAAAGTATGAAATCTACAATATTGCTATATAAACTTCTTTAAGAAAGTTGGTTTTACGCCAGAGCAGTAGATCCAAAAAATTTATTCCTTGGTAGCACACCTTAAGATTGTTGCTATCCCTAATTGTGTTATTGGGTTACTCAAATACTGAGACTACCATATATCCTTTACATAATAGTCTCTTTATCTTTTATAAGCCATTGTGAACAGCATATTTGTTGGTACATACAGTATTATAGAGATCTTACCACCTCTGTCATATATGAGGGAGATCTCCCTGCTTTGGATCACCCTAAAAGGAGATCTGGATCATGGATTATTTTCTCTGCCTACCCTCCTTCCCCCAGAATCTTATTCCCATGAAAAGATTCCGTATTTCTGGTGATAATTCATTCTTTCAGCCCATCAAAAAGCACAGTATTTATCACATGCTTAATGTATTCATGACTTCATGAGCGTTCATACTACCATGTTCTAATCAATTCTAGACAGTCTACACGAGACTATCATCCTCACCAAAACCATAATGCATATCTATGAATAGATCCAAGAATACAACATGAACAACACTGTACTAAACCAGTGTTAGCAAGGTATTCACTTTCTTATCTCAAACACCACTGCTCTTTACTTGCCAAGTCTACTGGGTCTCATTTAACATTACGTGTGTGTACCCACTGAAAGACACTGGAAGATTCATCAGCCCTAGAATAACAAACTGCTCAGAAATACATGTTGCATTCATCCCCATATCCTGTCCCTCTTGTGTAACAAACGCAAAAATGAATGCAGAGTAGAGAAGCAGTTTCAGGATGATTATCCAGGCTTAAACACAGGACCCTTGAAATTAAAAAAGGAAAAAGAAATACAAAAGGAGAAGTCCAACTAGCCATCATTGCCAGTTATGACTATTTATGTCTCCCTTTCCTTCCCATGCTTTTTTTTTTTTTCCTAGAGTCCTTTCTGCAGATGTAGAAAACAGTATTACAACATACTTATTCTAAAACTGAAGGAATTTAATGAGTCATCTGATGTTACAGATACTAACTAGGAACAGAGTTTTATAGAATTACTCGTTGAATGAAGGAGGCTCAAGTTTACATTTAATACAGAAGTAAGGATAAAAACACAGAAATGAAAAACAGGAGGTTTTGAAAATATAATACCTACTTGCTTTGCCATTTTTTAAAATTAATATTTAAATGAGAGAAAATCAAAAGTGAGTAGTCTTATCCTAATGTTTATTTTTCACCATTAAGGGATACTACAATTTTTAGTCATTTCATGAGGAAAAACATATATTTTTTTTCAATGGCTGTCCCTGCACAGTTCATCTTATAATAAGGTTAGTCAATGTTTTCAGGCTTTCTTTTATTCTTTCATCACTAATAAGAGATACAAAAGACACTGGTGCCAAAGTTGATAGTTCCCAGAGAATATTGTGCAAATACAGAGCTCAAGTGCCTGGCTCTGAGCAGACATAAGTAATCTGTCAGTGACAGAATCGAAGTGTTAGATCACCACTTTATTGCTTCCAAAAGATATAAAATAGAAACCAACTGACCCCCAGATAGCCCTATATAAAAGAATTTTTATTTCTATTAGGTAAGTGCAAAATCTTCATTCCTCCATCACACACACATCCCCATCCCCCCCGCCCAGTAAGAAGTACATGAAAATAGCAGTTGTTGACTAGAAATGTCTCAGAAGAGTTATGTAAAGAATTAACTCACCCATCTACAAGTCCATGCTGCAAAATAAGTCTCTGAGCCTCTTCTCTAGAGATTTTATGATGAAACCATGACTGAGATCTGTGTATAGCTGTAGAAATAAAGGTTTTAAAAAACATTTTGTATTTATTGAAAGAACCAGCTATTGCATTTCTCTGGCAATGAATTAACTCACACGTACCCATGTTAGACATGGCAATAGGACTACCATGTGAGTTGAGTCGTAGACACCCTCTCCTCTGTATGAGAGAGAAGTAAAAGCATGATTTCAAAGCTTTTTTGTTAAAAATAAAAAAAAAAAAATCAGAAAATACTATTCTGATAAAACAAAGGTGTTTATACCCGCCATGCTAATCCTTCTTCAACTGCAACTGAAAGGGCTTCTGTTGGATTTTCTATAATTCTGCTTCTGTGTCCTGAGAAATCCATTGCTACTAAAGAATTTTCTGAAATGCTTCTCTGCAACAAAGGGAAATAAATTTAGTTCATTTTTTAAAAGGTTCATCATTTAAAAGCGAGCTTCTGAGAAAACATTATGTTTTGTAAGTGGTGTTTCAAGTATCTGCAGTGTTTCCCATCAGAGCCAAACTCATATTACCCTAGGGAGCATTTGTAATTCCAGTATGCTGCTGCAAAGCTCAATTTTACAGTCTGGCAGGACAGATGATCTTTGTGCATTACTGCAATGGATAATAAATATATTGTTTTACCATAAACTCTATATTTTTAACTATACCTAGCCCCTTTGCATGTCAAAACAAGCCAGCAAACTGTTACTAAGTTGTTCAAGTAATAGGAAAAAGGTAAATCCTTATACATAACCATCAAATTAACAAAGCTTTGAAATATTTTGCTATAAGCGTGTAATAAATTTAAATATTTTTTAATATAAAATGTCACTCAAAGTTAACTGGATTTAAGCATTGAAATCAGCCATTTCTATGGAGTTTAACTTCAATTTTAATACATCTCTTCTAACTCTTATTACAGACTAAACAAACTGCTTGGGTTTTTTCTCCCAGTGAATATTAAGTTTGTTACAGTAGAATAAAAAGCATTGAAGTTGACAAAACAGTCTTAAAACTCATGAAAACACTTCTCAGAAACCAAGGTTTACAAAATAGAGTTTACTACGGACTGTAATGGCTCAAATGTTGGCAGGCACTGGAATATCAAATAATTAAAAGAACATCCTAGCATTCTGTAAGTTAAAGTAAATTCTGGAACACAAGAGGCCCAGATTTCTGTACTGTTAGCAAAGCTTCACACTCCAAAACCAAAGCAGCTCTGTTTCGTTCCTGTTTGGTTACACGCATGAATGTAACTAGAAACGGAAGACGGCAACTCTGCAGTTCTCTGTAATTCTTGACACTGTAGTCTAATGTCTGCCTGAGTAACTGTAACTTGTAAAGAACTTTTCAAAAGTAAAAAACCAAGGCTAAAATAAGAGAAATGTTTGCTTCTAGGAGAGTGGAGGGAACTCCTTGTAGCTTGGAGTTGGTTGTGACTTATTGAGGAATATGAAACATAGAGGTTGCTCCCCTAAGAAGCATGTTCATTAGCTTGTGCACTTAATTCCCAAGTTTACCCAATTTGCTGTTTAATTCATTAATAATGCACAAGTAGAAAAACAATGCCATGCTTAATATGATTACAGATTATGCCTGTGTTAGAAGCTACATGAGCTAAAATGCCCTCAACAGTGCAAGAGGAGAAAGAATCAGCAATGGCTCCCCGATCCATTATAAAAGCAGCAGCTGGCTACAGTAACAGCTTCATATAACAGAAAGTAAAGACAAGGTCAGTGTATTAAGCACAATTTTGGAGCCATGCTTATTAGCAATATCACTGAAAACTGTTTCTGTGAATGCCTATAATAGTAAAGGCATCTTTTAGGCATTTTAACAGCAAGAACTATAATAAAAGCTCAAAAAATCCACGATAAAATCACTGCCACAAGTCCCAGAAACAAGTAATTTTTAACCAATTTAGCCAACAAAAACCAAAAAAGTGATATAAATCATCCATGAAAAAGTCTGAAATCAAATAACTCAAAAAGAATTGGGATAACATAAGGTATTAAAGAAAAGGACAACCTGATCCAATTCCAACTATCTGACTGAGAAAATGGACACAGCACTTAGTATAGGCTGTTGTTCCTCCAAAACCCAGTTCTGGCAAACTATGGTGTTCCTCTGAAGCGCAGTCAGTATTACACCAGCTGAAATTTATCTCAAGTACTTAATGTTTTATATTACTGTATACTAAAAAGGATTTGTTATAGCTTTCTTATCATTTACAGCATGCGTAACCTTAAGCACTTTGCTTCTTTTTAAATGCATATATAGTTCTGTTACTCTGTTTTCAAAATCCTCTTTCCACTTTTTTTGACAGTGATAATAAGCCACTGAACTCCCAAAAAACGGGAGATTTGACAAAGGGAAAAAGCCTGTTAACTGGTCTGAACTACCCAATTTTTATGAAGTAAATAAGTTAATTAGCTTTCTAGTCAACCCTGACAGCCCTAAAGATTTTGGCAAGCATTTGCACATGCAAAGATTTGCAGGATCAGGTCAGCAGTATAACTGACATAAATTACTTAAAAATAGCATAATGGCAGAAACAAGGTATTTATTCATGGAGCTACTGTGGGACATACCATAGGTGTTACATTCAAAGGGCTGCAGCCACTTCTACCTTGATATGGTTGCATGTAATTCTGATACAGCTGCATCCCATACTAAAACCAGAAAATAACACAGTTAGCATTTTAAATTATAAACCTAAGCCACGTAAATGTTTTTCCGGATATAAAAGATAACGCGTGCTTTTCTTTACCATTAAAAGCCAGGGACAAACGCTGTTAGGATAAGGAAAGGCACAACATCATTGTCATTGCTGCTGCCTTTATAAATGTACTCTCTGCATTAAATACTACCCATTTAATACACACACTGACCTATTCCTACTTTGTGACAGACACATTTTCAAAACATATTGAAGTTCCCTTCTTGTGTATTCTCATAGCTTTGTTTGACATTACTGAACAATCTCACTGAATTCAATATGGTTACATATAAGCATCTGTTTAAGTATTTGCAGGACTTGAGGCTTCAAGACATCATCCCATCCCCTACAATGATTCCAGTAATTTGGTCTCTCCCTTTTTGTTGGGATGAAGAAAAATAAGCTTTCAGAGTACAAAATTGATACTGTTATTGTATGGAAATCTAGAATTAGGTTACTTCCCTACCATACAGTATCAAAATTTCACATAGTAGACTTAAGCAAAAAGTTAACTCCACACAGATAAATTACCTTAAGCAACCTAATTGCTGTCATCCAACAGGTCCTACTTTGTTCATCATCTGCACAGAGCTGTTTCAGGTCTCTGGTTCCTCCTGATTTGTTAGGCTAGAAGGCCACAGCACATTTTTTTAGCATTAAAGCATATCTTGAAGATAATACCTGTTGAAATAAAAGCCACTAATTCTCCTATTTTATAAGAGACAGCTGAATATTGTTTTCAAAAACCTTAAAGAAACTTAAGCTTACCTAAAAACTGTGGCTTGCTTTAATACGTATCAGAATAATAAGCTTGTACCTTAAAGCAGAATCCATAGTTTGTTGGTGCTCCAAAAATCTTTTTGCTCGTCAAAGACATGTACATATCACTATTGCTGAATTCACAGAAAAACTGCAGATGTCTCGGCTCCTAAAAAGAAGAGCAATGTAATACAGTTAGATTATTTTTAGCCAGCCCCCCCCAATAAGAAACTCGACAAGAGTATAGTAGTTATCTTTTTCCAAAACACAGTCCTACATACTGCAGTTTTAACTGTGATATTATGAAATCTAGAAAGAGACAAGTCAACTTTAATTTTATAATGCAAAGTAAAAACACATCAAACTACTCAAAGAGTTCATTTTTCCAGAGAGGGAGAAAAACCAAAGTACAAGTGATATCATTATCGGGAAAACATCCACTAAATTCAAGCCACAATATTACTACAGTAGGAGTAAAGTTTTGAGAGCAGTATCCATTTCAAACACCAAAATAAAATACACTCTTACAATCTGAAAAACAATATACTGTAATAATTATTGTCCAGTACTATTTCTAACCATTATCTCCACCCTCTAAGGTTAATTAAGTAAAGGAAGCAAGAAAGAAAACTGCTAAAGGGTACAAAAACAGCTCAGTGAATACATTGGCAGTTAACACAAAAAATTCAGAACGAGGAAAAACATTGTTTTAAGTGGTTTATGTGAACGGTGTCACAACTCCAGTGTACCTTGTTTAATATAATCAGATTTAAACTACTGCCATCCAAGTACCAAAGCTGAACTAGTAAAATGAAAACTGTCCACTGACAAAACTTAAGAATGCTTAAAATCTTCATGTAAAATCCTTTTATGCATAGATTTTTTGAATTGAATATTGAAGTATTATGTCCACTTTTCAGAGCATCTACTTATACTCCAAAATTTTAGCTACTATTTGAAAATTCATTTTTAAAGGGCACTCTGTTAAATGATTGGAAAGATATTGACCAGAATGAAGCAAAGCTACCAGGCAAAAAGAAACCACTGTTTCTAAGACAATATTTTCCCAATTTTATACCTCTCTCTATATCTCTCTAGATTTTATCTACAATAAATAGATTTCTTTTTCCTTTTTATCACTAAAAGTTGATATTCAAATTTTCAATATTATTACAACAAATGATAAATACATACAAATTTGCTCTAACTACATAATTTTCTCTCTCTCTTTCTTTTTTTTTTTTCTTCCCTTACCTTAGAAGTACCTTTAGTGGAAAAATATAGGCCAGATCTTCTCAAGAGAAAGTACAATTTTTTCCACGATTTTTTTCCCTGCTCCTTTGCATGCAAGTAACCATGAATCTCAGGATACGTGCTGGAGCTTAGGAACATCTGAAAGAAAATATCAAACATGCATTTTTTCTTTTAATCTGAAACCAGCTTTCTGTTTCATTAACATACTCAGACAGGACTAAGGGGAATAAACCCCTAAATCCACTATGACACCACAATAATTCAGTTATGATTGCATCTAATCCCATTAACAGTACCTCTGATTTAAGGCGTGTAGAATGTTACACAACTCCAAGGTATGATAAGCAAGTTACATATTTATATGGAACATATGGTTTGAAATGAGAGCATTAGTTATGCAATATGTTGACTTCAGCAACAAAACCAGTGTAAGAAGTTCTGATCCCATGCCTCAGACCCTATTTATATAAAACTGCAAATCAGTTCTACCAAAAGAAGAAAGGAAAAGCCATCCCTCCTCCCTGCCATGTTACAAACCAGACAAGAGAACTGATCCGAGTTAAAATTAATTCAGCAAACAGATCAGAAAATCTGAATCACAAAACCATGCAGGTCGGTCAGATCTTACCATTTTCAAAAGGAGGGAACACAGGTCTCAGGACCTGAAGTGGTGCTTAAGCAGGAGCTTTAGCAGAACCAAAAAGAGGAGAGGCTGGGCCAGTCACCAAGACAGCTCCTGTCTGTGCTCGAGGTCATGTGGCAGAGAGTATTGAAAAAGAAATGGGTCAGGAGGAAGGAAAGAAGACTTAAAAGTCTGAGAGATCAGCCATTTTGCCTCCAGAACTGCAAGAAAAAGGTGTGTACCCTCACAAGCCACAGAAAGGCAGAATGAGATGGTCTGACAGAGAAGTTAACTGATACCTTGAGTAGAGGCAGTGTATTCGGTGGCTTCTTTTTAGCCCTTTCAACCAGACATTGTTGGAGTGCAATACAGCTTTTATCTTGCTAAAACCAAGTATACAGTTCTATTCAGTCTCCAAAAGTATCCACTAAAAGCTGGCAACCATGTTAACTTTATTCTGATTCCATGTAATGCCTTCTTTTTTATTACTCTTCTTGCAAGAAAACTACTCAGAACTATGACTCCTATCTAAACAGACTAACCTAGAATTCTTCAACTTCCATATATGCAAAAGAATATGTGTTATTGCTAAGCTCTTCAAGGACCTTGCCCTAGACTGGCCTGCAGCATCACAAATACCATCTAGGCTTACATAGAGGAAGGAAACAAGGGCTGATATCTGCAGCTTTCATTGCCACATTTTCCTCCTGTCCACTGCCTCTTCCAGAAAATCTGATTTGAGGACACAAAACAACAGATCCTCAGGCAAGATACAGACTGGCCAGAACCACAGCAAAATGATGAAGTGAAGTGATTTTGGAAGTACACCATAGTCTTCATGTACAGCCATTAAATAATGCAATCCAACCAAGATACACAAGGTTGCTTTCACTTTTATTGTTTTCCTACCTTGCAGTCAGGTGCATGACTGTACCACCTGCAGACCATCCTGAGCTAATTAATTTCAGCTGGTGTGAATGCAGTAATAGGGGCAGGCTTCATTTGACAGGGGAATGCCCTAGCCCACGAGTAGGAATGCATTATGAGTAGCTTCATGGTATTCATCTGAATAGTTAAGTTACAATAAGACTAGGTGTATCTATCTACATGTGTTGCTGCACACAGCTGTGTGCAAACACAGTTTCAGCTTTTTCAGCCACATTGAAGCAGATGAGTAGGTCCTGGTAGGTGTTCCAGCCTGTTAATCTTCCCATTTGCCACGTATTAACAGGGTCACTGATGGTGAATACAAAGGCTGCATTGCAAAAGTATTTTAACTCCATAAACAAGTCAAATGGAATCTAAATGAGTCAATATATGTAAAGCTAGAAAAGCATCTTTTTAGGCTTTAGTACCTCTGCTGAAGATGAAAGGAATGACTGGCTCCCACAAGAATCTTCCCCAGCGTTTCTGCCATAAGAGCTTCAAACCAGAAGCACTGTCATGAAAAACGCTTTTCTTACTCAGCAGACCAAAGTGGAGGAGCAATACAAAGCTCAGCTTTGACAGTCCCTGTTGTACTCATGCTATCAATTAAAATAAAGTAGCAATACTGCTAGGAAAAAGGCAATCCTAGATCCATCTTTTTCTTTCCAAGACAGCTGACAACAGTGTGAGAAAATATAACATGAACAAGCTGTAGTCAAAACCATTAACTGTCACAAGGAATGAGCAGTAAAAATATCTCAGAGTGCGAACTGAACATCTGTAATAAATACCTAAAACTAAAGACAGTAGAAAAGATAACTTCTTTGGTTCTTTTTGTTGGGGGATGATTTGGATGGGTTTTCCTGTTGTTGGTTTGCTGTTTTTTTAATGGAAGTACATGCAAGTTTATTATAGAAGGGAATGGATCCCTGCATTATGCAGATAAAAGGTAATCAAAATAAGACAAATTAAGAAAAATATGAAAAGTTCTTAATACAGGAAAAAGTGGGGAGAGTTAAATGATGACATGCTACGGACAGGGATTATTGGTCCGCAATATGCAGATGATCTTGCACCCTCTCCCCCATGCAGTGAAATATATAACATGATATGTAGGGTTATGTAAAGTGTTACCACGTCATACTAATATATGACAGCACCAAGGACTTGATTATGATTTGATTAGATGTAAAACTAACCAATTTAAAACCAACTGAATAAAAACCGAGGCAAATAATGTCTTTTGTTGGGGGGAAAAAAAAAAATCAAATCAATCAACAAGTGGGGTAAAAAAATGGAAAGGAAATACACCCCACTGTCTCAGATGAATATAATAGTAAAAAATGCAAAAATACTAGATGTCACCAAATGCAATAAAGATTGAGAGCTGAATTCCTAACTATACAACTTAGTTGTCCACACCTTCAACATATTCAATAAAAGAATGGCTGCAGTAGCAAAGACAACATTTGCTAATGGGCTTCTCAAGCTCTTACTACTTTGCAGAGTGAAAGAAGCCACCATTTTCCTAAGACTCCATAAATCAGGTTTGAATTTGATGACTGATTTCCTCAAAGATGTCATGACAGCTGGCCACAATCCAGCCCAGTGCTACTGTGAATGAGCAGGACTTTCCCCCGAACCTGCTCATGAATTTTGGAGGCATCAAGTAACTCCAGTGAAGAACTGATATCAGTTCTCAATATTGTCTCCTATAGACTTCAGTCAATCTGAAGAGTTTAAACTGGGAGAAAGGCCAGCAGAGTCTAGAGTGGAAGATGAGGAAAAGCAACAGGCAGACTAGAACACATCTAAGAGATTGACAAGAGACTAAAATTCAGTGCATGGCTATTTCAGCCTGAAGACTGGAATGGAGTCAGATGAGAAACTGGTCAGGGAAAGAAGGACTTGCTATGGCAGAGTAATTAAAGAAATTGTCCTGATTTGAGCTAAAACAGAACCAATTTTCTGTTCAGTAATTTTACTTGAATCTTTAATCTGTGAAGGTAGAGAATGAGAAGTAAGAACATGGGGCAAGAGATGGCAATGGAGAATGGGCAAAAGGAAAATACACTATCGATAATTCTGTGTTTTGCAAAATTATGACTGTCTTGGTAATCCTGTTTTGTCTTTAACTTAATTTTTGCATATATAGCTTTTTTTTTTAATGTTTATTTAGGAATGACATATGCTCCATTCTTCAGGTGTAAGGTTTTTTTCACTGCTCTGGAAGATGACTTGGACATGTGCTATCTACAATAGTTTTTTTAATGTATTCACATTATACATAAAAAGCTATTAGAAAGAAGCAGCCAAATTAGTCAATACAAGACTTGAACTCTGAACTTCAAGTCTTGCACCTATTAAACAATAAGAGGAGGGAGGATGGGTCTATTCTTAAAGAAAAAAAAAAAAAAAAAGCAGAAAAAAGTGTAATTACCCAAGTAACGACCCAACCTTATTTTTTGAAAATGTAACTGTTAAATTTAAAACACCAATTGACATATTTCCTAGTGAAAAAATATTCGGATAAAAATACAATTAAAGATTAAAAAACCAGAATTACAAAATTGGAGAAATGTTATTCACAGACAAAAAGAAAATGAAAGAAACCTAAGATAAGATTTTGACCCTTCCAAGTAATTAAAAAAAATAAATATTGACTTCAGTGAGGTTAGAATTTTACCTACTAACTCTGAAGGACTCAATTCTGTTAACACTACCTATGCTGTGCAGTCTATTTATTGGAAATGCTGGCATGAATAAGAGAAAATAGAAAAGGATCTAGCATGCACATGTATTCATCTAAAATAAGAGTTGCTGCAATAAGCAAATGTTTTAAACAAATCTCAAGTCCCATTTAAAATGGCATTAAATAGTTTCACATGTAATTAGACCAAGTGATACAATTTGTTGCCCACCTATGAAAATTGCTAATTCTCAAAAAACAATCAACCAACCCACCCCAAAATTCGAAAATAATAGAATATTTCTTTACTATAGGGAGAGACTCCAGATAAAAATATTCACACTACGTTAATTTTTGACATGTTTTAAAGCCAACTTGCAAAAATAACCTAAAGTAAATTCCAAATGATCCATATGGCCTAGCACTAGACAGGTACATAGTGTGTTGTGTCTCACAGCAACCATACTCTAATCAATATAGTAACACACTTTTTTTTTTTGGCTAAAGATCTTAATGGCAGATTAAACCTCTCTCTTTGGTATGCATACACATTCAGTATATGTCAGACCTACTAATTTTACTTAGCATATGTTAAATGGGTAGGAGATAAGTAAACTTTTTTTTGCTTTTGAGGCTATTTAGATGCTTTAAAGTCATCACTTGCTTTTACTTGCTTACAGCTCAATCCACAAAAAGCTATAAAAGTATCAGAAGTGATTTTTTAATCACTTGTAAGCACTGAGTTGTTAAAACTAATGTCTCTCTTGATACTTGACCAAGCACATCACAAATAATAATGCAAGGCCATTAACTTGTCTTAATGAAAGTTTCCAAGGAAATAGCGACACACTGTAAACAATTTACCCAACTGCTTCTGCTGAAACGTGCATAACGGCTGCACAATCCACAAATGTATTCTCTACTTTGTGCCCAGGAAGTTTTATTTGATTAAATACAATTAGACAGAAAATAACAACATAAAATGGCAACAGAGGAAAGTTTGTAACAGATTTTTCAACCTATCACAATGGGATGTAACTATATATATTTAGAACGACTCCTAATCTTACCCATAAGCTTTGCACACATTCTACATACCACAATATGGGCGTAAGGAAGTTCTGTGCAAAACTATATGGCAAACAGTTCCATTATAAAAGTCTATATTATTTTTTTTAAACTACTAAATTACATTTGCAAGTAAGAAATATTAAGTTCTACTAACACAGGGGACAAGATTTCCTAAATTAAATGTTAGACTGCAAAATCTATTTGCTATTTAGGTAGCAAAAGTGAACTAATTTTCATTAGATATGCAGCATCTTTTGAAATTACAAAGTTTTTATTTACGTTTGTAAAAATGATTTATAGAATCTAGCATATGTAAATTAAATTTAATTAGAAACTTTTTTTACTATATCTGGGATAATCTTAACCTCCTGACTTACATTTGCTTCTGTAAGGATATAACTATTTAATACAGAAGAATGATTAAAGAATTAGTTCTTAAATGTTTTTCATTTACTGGTGGACACTAAGGTAGAATTTATCATCTAGATGCAAAAAAAAAATTTGTAATTTCTATATTTCTTTCAGTTCTACCTTAAATATCTTGTGTTATTATGTTGCCTTTCCAATCATTCTTTATCCCCAAAACTCCCACATAGGATTGTTGTCTTAAGACCAGTGAAAGTTCTTCTATTAATTAATTTTTCTAGTGACAAGCAAACAAGAGTGATGTGCATGTTTCCACCTTTATTACTCATTTTTCCCCTCTTTGAGAAGTAAGACGATGATCCCTGATATGGTCATTCTGTGAAATTATTCCCACTGTAAATTAAAATCTTGTGTCCGCTTAAAAGATGACTAACACTGAGTGACCTACCATATTTTTTTTTCGAAGGCTACAGTAGCCTTCAAGCTAACAAATCATACTAGTCAGTCTAAATTTTCTACTCATTAAGTTTAACCATTTAACTCTTTTTTATATCCATTTGTGTCATATTACCAGTTCCTCAGTATTCTACCAATGCCAGCTGTTAAGTGTGTGCTGAGTACCGCAGCAATCCACCCTTCTAAGGAACCGGGGTCTTTCACCTGAAATACCCAATAAAGGTATTAACCATTTTTACTGCATTTTGTCTGTCTTGGCACTCCCTGATTCTGAAAGAACGTGTAAGTTTCCAAGTGTGGAAACTGTCTGGAAGGAACACATCACTTCATATCTCATAAGAAAAAAAGTTATTAATCATGTTTTGAGTTATTCAAAACCTAATAATAGATCCAACAGAGACAAAGAGCTATGCTCGTACAACACAGACATCAGGAAATTCTGAGCTATGCTGGTTCATCTTCATTCAAAGATCACATACCTGCAATATCCCAGAGTGGCTTACAGCTGCATCAGTCTCACTTGGAAAAGATATCATATGATCTGGAAAAAAGCTCTGTAACAATATATTTTGTATCAAATTTCTGTAAAAAGAAATATTAAACTTCCTATCTCTTTTGGACATAAAATTGAAGTTCTCAATGCAGTGCAAGACACTGCCAATTCTCTGATCCAATAATTTAAGCTTACCTTAACATCATTTCTGAATTTGTGACATCCTATATATTATTTGCTGAGAAACTTAAAATTTTGAGAAAACATCAACAAACTCTGGAAGCAAGAGGGTTTCATAAACCAGTGCAAGTCATATTGCAGTACTTGGGCCTTAGTGTTGTTTTTCTAGCTGTATTTTATGTTGACATGTAAGACTTGCCTGGGGCTTCAATACGCTACCAAGCAGGGAGGATATACACCAGCATGCTAAAAAATACATTCTTTTCTATTGCTTTCATTACACTAGAAAGCCAGTAAAATATTTTGGAATAACTTCCATTAACAGAGAACCAGTCCTCTCAGGTTTTTTCATTTGTCCATTCTGTATGATATGAATACAAATTAACATCAAAATCTGACTACATCAATACGGTGTGGTTAAAAAGTCCATATTTAAAGTGCCAATTTCATTACCAAGGAAAACTCAAAAGGTAATTCATAGGACAGACCTGCAGCTGGGGAGTTCGATACAGTTATACAGATATGAACCTGCCAGAGGTGATCATTACTAATAGTTTTCTCAAGGCTTGGACAAATTTGAAGCTAATACTCCCTTGACCATCCAATGTCCACTGACTCATTTTTGATAATGGCAGGGTTAATTCATATCAACTGATTTCTGATAAAGCATTCTTGCTACACCTGGGACCACAGTACCCAGAAGAGCGACTCAACAGCAACAGTAAGGACTCTGATTAGCCACAGATGCTGATACCAGTCATAGTTGCATGTCTGTCACCCTCCACAGCTGGTTCCACTCACTGGTTAACCGATACACAAACATATTTATTCTTTGAATGTTCTGTACTAACTACAGACCATCTCAAGCTTAGAATTTTTCACTAGTGCACTGATATCTCCATGTCAGGGGAGTACATGATTTGCCCAGAGAAACACAGATGGAACAAGAAAAAGCCCTCACATCTCTTACATCTTTTGGTATCTTAGTATTTACCTTTTCATCCTGTTCACAAGTGGACAGTTTGGGTTCCCTTCCACTATTCACCTTTCAAGTCCTCGTACATTTCTGCTATTTTTCCCTTTGACATCTGAAACAAGTTGGCTTTACCAGAGACAGCATTTGGAGTGATCCAAATATACCATGCATTTGAGCAACCAGATGGTGAGTTTCTCCTGCTGAGCCAGGACTGTTTCCATGGCCTTTGCCATCAGCCAAGGTCTGAATCAGCAACATTAACCTTTGGCAACATTCTTGTGTTACGAGTTGTCTCTGCTCTCTTTCTATACCTTACATACACTAACTCTGGCTTCACTTTCTCTTTCTCCTAACAGGTTATGGCTGCTCATGGAATTTTGTGTCCGTTGGCATTTAGCTGCAGCTGTGAGAAGCTGCCATTGGACAGCACTGGGCCATAACATTACGCTCTGTCTGGCTGTGTGTAACACAAAAGACTATTTTGCAGCAACAACTGCATCACTTCCAGATAGAACTTTAGGACTTACCAGTGGATTTTTAAAAAACTCATACTTGGCATAATTTTTTCTAAAATACAGTTTGTTTTCCTCTTCCATTACCCAATTTGACTGGACTTCCATCACTAATTCATGGTCTTCTATAGCTCTTCCTGTAAAAAAAAACAAACAACTTTTAGAAAAACAACGAACAACCTGCACCTAAGAGCAGAATGTGAAAACACAAAGCTCAGACAATAAAAATATTATTGAATGTTTGCGAATGTTTATGTAAATATGTTTGAATATTATTTGTAAATGAATACAAAACACAAAACAAGCAATCAGAACTCAGCCCATTAATCAGGTCCATGTTACACCAAGTTACTGTTCCACCTTAGTAGGGTCCAACATCTGAGGTAGGTCACATGTCAGGTGTTTCGTTTATGTTTTGTTGTTGTTGTTTTCTTTTACAGGGGCAGCTGAGGGCTTTATTCTATCTCATGGCGAAATCCATGCTCTCCCTGCAGAAGCCAGGCAGTTCCTGCTGCAGGACACATGGGGCAGCAGGCAGCAGACCACTTCAACCATTCACTCAAGCCTGTCTGGGGTGTCAGGAGTGTCATTCTAACGCTCCTTTCTCTTAAGGCTTCATTTGTAAAGTGGATCTGCAATGTAGAAAACCATTAATTTGTTCTCTTCTCCCCAGGCCCCTACTATGTCCTGAAGCATTTCTAAAACTAAAAATGAACTTAGGGCATTTCAGTGTTTTAATGATTTTGCACAAACTAGGGATTACTGAGAATTTTGGCAGGTATAGAACTAGTATATGCAAAAGGAATGGTAAGGCATGAAAAAAAAACCAAACAAAAAAACAAAAATTAACCTACAAAGTGAACCCTAATGTGTAGTTTGGCTTTGCAGTGGGTGAGGGTAAGAAAAGGCACAGAATTCACTTATTTGTACCACAGCACTGGCATTCAGAATCGGTATTCTCACTGCTTTAGACTGCTTAGGCTGCTCAGATTCTTGAGTGAATTTTTCTATTTTACAGCACTATGAAATGCACTTAAAGGAAAGAACTGTCCTGTAGATGTGTTGTGCATGTTTAGGTGTTACATACTCTGAGTAATGGAATGGGATTACTCACAGTGCAGCAAGTTAAGCATAAATTCTGAAAGACTACGGATAATTTCTCTAAAATACTATCTATACTGCCTTCTTTTTTAAAAAAATAAATTTCAGCAGCTTATGAAATCATGTTACAAAAAAAACGATGAACATGCTTCCAAATGAGTATACAGTTTTTGTGGCCACTTGTACTTTGTTGTGGACTCAAAAACTAAAGAGAACAAGATGGAATTGAACAAAGTTGTAGATTTTATTTAAATGATCATTGGCATCTCCAAATTTAAATTACACTCCAATAATGAGTTACAGGTTAAGAACAGGTCTGAGATCTCAACTTATGTCTCCCTGCCATTTACAGGGTTTTAACATCCAATTCTGGTCATACGGGAAAAGGCAACTAAAAATATATTATAAAATCCATGTAACTCACAATTTTCTGCTCACATTTTCTACACTTCATTGCATTATCATAAGGGATCTTATGATATCTTTAACTGAATGTTGATGGTGTCCTGTAACTATCTGCTATTAGAAACTTTTTTAAAAATCATAACATAAAAGAATAATAGATTTTTTTAAAAACTTAATTAGGCATAATATTAAATTAATATAATTTTTTTTACAATTGGTCCTGGCTAACTTACATTAAGCGTAGCATGCACTACCTTCTAAGAGATAAAAATCAAACCTCAAATTTGAAATCATTAAAGCCTCTTTAGAGCTACAGCATCTTTTTATTGATCTTCTCTTGCCACCTCTTTTGCCTGTCACTGCTTCATTCTTTCACACTGTCCAGTCTGGTGGGTAACAGCCTGAATGTAGCCGGCAAATCTATAAGCTTCTGCAAAAATTTTCCAGGTAGCAAATTTAGAGACAATACACTCATACAGATAAATTTCATTTCATCATCAAGCTCACAACTAGCAGAAGACAAATCACTCTCATGATCTACAGATCAAGTAGGGAAAAGTTAAACTTCCATTGACTTTAACTAATTCTTCACTGAATTTCACTCAATCTTTAGTCCATAAATACAGAGATTAAGGATGCGACACGAAACTCACATTTTGTAACCAGATCAAATGAAGCAAATAAAAACATAAAACAATTCAGAAAATGAAAAAATACCCCAAAAATACTGAAAGAAAAACGAGCATTTTAAAGTCTTGCACAGTCTACTGTACTCCAAAACACATACTTCAGATGCAGGAGTAAAGAGACACTAAAGAACTAAAGCTCTTACTCAAAACCAGAAGGTTTTTTACTTTCAGTTTTATAGAGAGGAAGTGCTCCTCTGGGATGACATTTAAAACTCTTAAATGTATGGCATTGTGACATTTAAGAAAATACCATTCCCTCAAGACTCACTTCTTGGTACAAAAATAAGACATTCTGCATCACCCCAATGGATGGGTAAGGATGCTGGCATTTATTTTTAAGGTGTCACATCACAGAATATTTTACAATTGATTCAACTTCATTTCTTGAAACAACTGAAACATTGAGTTAGTGACCTCCAAAACACAGCCCTGTAATCAAATCCTTAAATGCTTCCATGAAACAACTGCACTTGGTTTAGTTAGAACATTTTTTTCTCTCCCAGCTAGACTAGAGATTTTCTGTCTTCCTCTCTACCATCTCTTTATTACTACTATCTCTAACATGAGGAGCACCTGCTACAGTACAAACCAAAGTCCCCTTAACTATGGAAAATAACTAAACCACACGAAAGATTTATCACTGAAGTGCATGACAGAACACGTCAAATAGCCTCCTCTCTAGCCACCCGGTGTGGGGAAAAAATTAAACTAAATAAAACCCAGAAAAGCCTACCAGTACTGTTGCACCGATAGTGCTTTGTGAGCCTTTCCACAGGCTACCAAAAATAATGCAGGTAGTGAAATCAAAATGAGAGACTGAAGCACAACAATGATGTGTCTGGCCAAGGCACTATCACCTACTCAAAGAGGAAGCCTGGAACACACGTCCAGGGTTCAGAAGCAAATGGAAAACCGTTTACAGTCAACACAAAAATTTCTCACAAGAAAAGGAAAAATTTCAGGATGAAGACAGTATTTTCCTTGAAAAGGAGAATAGCTATGGAAAACTGTTCTGTTTCCACAGCCTGCCCTGTACAGGGAAATTGCAGTAGAAGTATGGGACTCCAACTCCAAGGTGCCTGGTGGTAGAAATGACGTGGCATCATCCAAATCTAGGCATACCTCAGCTGCCTTCAATAATCTTAGACTAGGTGAAAAACATCCAAGAATTTTTTTGAATTGAATAGCTTTGAACAAAAAGGACACGTATGAGGAGCACAGAGTTCTGAAATAAATTGTGATTTATACTGCTGTAATAATTGTCATACTTCAGATATTTGAAATAAAGCCCAACTGCAAAACTTCCTACCCGGGTGTGTAGGAAGACTGAGCATCCCCGGGTGATTAGACAGCAGCAGTGGGCTGTGCACAGCGTGGGTGCCCCAGGGCAGGCAGATGGGGGGCACCAGCCAGCACCCCAGAAATGCTGCACAGGTGGAAGAACCGTCTCACCTGCCCTGCGTCAACACCATCCAGTCAGCACTTGCCATGCAATGCAGCGAGGACACGACCATGCTTAATGTTCAACAATCTAGGTCCACACTAAAGAATAGCATATAGATTTGTGAAAACAGGAATATACAGACCATAGATTTATGTTTGGTTTTTTTCCCTCTTTTTTTCCTCTTTTTTTTTCCTCCTTTTTTCCTCTTTCCTCTTTTTTTTTTCCTCTTTTCACATGCAGATATCTCCACACAGCAATGAAGGCACACTCCAGTGATGTAATTAATGTCTGTCTTGATTAAAAGCAGAACACTCTGCTCAGCTCACTAAGATTCGTGCAATCATATAATTCAGGAGTATTCAGACAGCTGTTAGATATTAAAGAAAATGTTCGCTAACTGATGAATGAATTATTAATCCCCATCATACTGGAATTTACACAGACACACAAATCACTCATAGTACTTCTTTCTGTATCCATTCATTTAACTTGGGAGCAGAAAGAGATTGTCCAAATTTCCATGGATAAAGCATACAACAGAATAACAAACAGCAAATGGTCCAAAACTAAATCACCATTTGAAAAATATTTATTTATGCTACTCATCCAGAGCTTATGATTATACTTAAAGCAAGTCAAGATCAATATGTTAAGCCTTTCAAACAAAGCCAGACCTAATGGTATCATAAAAATAAATCCATTATTATTCAGTATTATTTAAAAAAAAATAGAACATATCTCAAGTTGTTCCTTTCCTTGTCTAGTAATGCTGAATTGCCATCCTCATCATCTAGGAAATAACTTTTTTTTAGAAACCAAAAATTCACCTTTTTCTAAAATTATGTCCAAAGCAGCTGCAGCAATCAGAAGACCGTATGGTGAATGCAGGTCTTCAGACCTGTACATTAGCAATTTTCAGAATTTCAGAATCTTAGGAAAAGCAACGTCACTAATGATTTGATATTGAAATCTTCCAAGAAATACTTCAGGTTGAAGTAAATACAGTATTTGGCAAAAAGCGTATTGTGCAAATAAATAAACCTAGAAAAACAATGCCACTATTGTTCTGGCATAGTTTGTCAAAAGTGTCTTCTTCAATAGTTACTACACTACTTAAACACCAGCCATACTATAAAATACAGAAAACACTTCTACTATTTATAAAGTAGTGTTGTCTAAAGCCATTTTTATACCTTCTTTTCTATAGCAGTCAGTCATTTACAGCCTCGACCCAGATTTAACTCTGACCTTACTCTGAGCTGGAAGCATCTTACAACTGATAGATTCAGTGCAAAAGGTTATAAATATCTTTGAAATGTTCCAAAGCAAAAAAAAAAAAAAAAAAAAAAAAAAAAAAAAAAAAAAAATGTTTGTGGCTGCCTTCATAGGATAAAGGAGCAGAAAAGGGCAGAAATCAGTTATAACTTTTGTAGTTCCTCTTTAAAATACAGTTGTTAAACATAATACAGCCAGATATGCACACTCAAGTTTATTTTGCACAAATGCACGAGTCCAGATTCCATAGATACATACACAGAGAGTTTTAAAATAGCTTTTAATGATATGTAAATATTGAGAGAGGTGTGGGGGTATTTTTTTGTTGGTGGTGTGTATTTTCTTTTAAAATCAACAGTACTTTAGTTACCAGGTACCAGTGCAATCTCCTCTGAGAATTAGGACTTCAAGGAGTTTTCTATGTATTTTAGAACATGGGAAAGGCCCCCAAAATGTCTTCTTTCTCAAGTCACACTTTGCACTAGCAGCTGGAACTGCCCTTGAAGTTGCAGAAGTACTACCTTTGGTAACTCTAGTACAGTGCCAAAGTTCAAGAATAATATGGAAACTTTGAGTGACGTGAAACTAAAACGAGATTTTTTTTAATAGCATTGTCTTTTAGTAGGTTTTTCTGATATAATTCCCTATCAAAACCAAACACAATACAGTACTGAAACGTAGTGCTGTAAAAGGAAGTAAGATTGTCTGACGACGGTATCATAGAATAATAGAATTGTCTAGGTTGGAAAGAACCTTTAAGATCATCTAGTCCAACCAACAACCTAACTCTGATAACAAATCATCACTAAACCATGTCACTAAGCACCATGTCAACCCTTCTTTCAAATACCTCCAGGGATGGTGCCTCAACCACTTCCCTGGGCAGCCCATTCCAATGCTTAATAACCCTTTCAGTGTAAAAAATTTTCTTAACACCCAACCTGAATCTCCCCTGCTGCAACTTGAGGCCATTTCCTCTTGTCTTATCACCTGTGACTTGGGAGAAGAAACCAACCCCCACCTCACTACAACCTCCTTTCGGGTAGTTGTAGACAGTGATAAGGTCTCCCCTCAGCCTCCTTTTCTCTAGGCTGAATGACCCCAGCTCCCTCAGCCTCTCCTCATAAGACTTACTCTCCAGACCGCTCACCAGCTTCTCTGGACCCACTCCAGCAGTATCAGTTCAATAGTACATCCTAGCAGTGGGCTTCCAAACTCATCTTTTGCTGACTGAATTCTTCCTTGTGTTCCACATTACTTACATCTCTGCAAACATCTCCTTTCTCTATATATTTATTTTGTCTTAATGTGTTTTTCTACTGCAAAATTATGTCTATACACTACAAAAAGGAACACAGACCAGAAATTAAAATTATAGCTGCACTCTGAAATAACAGAAAAAAAGGCTTTTTACTACACTAGAGGAACACTGACGATGTGGAAGGAGTTCAGAGCATTTCGTTTCCAGCAAATTAAAATACTAAGCATGAAGTCACTTCAACACAGTTCATTGTTCGATAACTGTAAGTTTAGAAGAATGGGTTTGTTTTGCTTAAGTAGTCCTGTCCCAGAGTTCACAATAAATCTAGCGAAACTGATTGTATTGAAAGAAAATACTAACAGCCTACTCTGATGTTGTTTCTGAAGACTGAGTCCTATTGTCCAGATAGAATAGCACTGTGTAACTGCTTTCTGCCCTTGATGTCAGAGATTTCACTCAGGTGTGTTGGGGACAGCAAAAATTTTATTTGCAATGAAAAGAACTCAAGTCTTGCTAGAGATAAGCAGGAAATACCAGTAGAAGAGGAAGAACTGCCAAAGAAAAGCAAGGAAGAGTGAGGAAGAATTTGCAGTGAGAACCTGTGTCTTCCAAATCACTCTTACAGATGCAGATCAAGTAGTGTGAGGCAAACGTACCACAACAAAATGTATTTTCTAGCTATGCTTTCAAAAAAACAGAAGTGAGAAGCCCCAAAAGAACAAATTCACACAAGCCCTTCCCATCATTTTGCTCCCAAGCTTTTCTATTACAATTGCATTTCTATAGGAAAACGAAAACCAAACACCTTATTTACTGCCATATCATTGTGTAGCATTAGTCTTACCTAAACCTGTGTGGGTAAGTTGTTCAAACAGAGTCCAGCTGTGGTCATCAATATAGTGGTTCTTCAGTATCAACAGCTGACATACATCCCTTGCTGTTATATCACTTGGTACTTCCAAAGCTCTGCTAGTATCATCTTCACTATACACTTTAATTACCTGCAAGAAATAAAAAAGCTAAAATATTCAGAAGTTTAATTTTTGATTCAGTTCATCCAAATATGTTCCCCTCTCAGCTTCATGACTAAGACAAGAACCTCTAATGCATGGGATGCAAAACTAAAAACAGCCATTTCTTTCTAGTGCAATGGCATAATTGAGAACAGAACAACTGAGCAAAGAGTACCCTACTTCTAGAATTGGCTGCTGGACATCCCTTGCCACAGGACACTGGACAGATTGCTGCATTTGCTTTAAAAAAAAATTGTAATGAACAGGTAAATAAATCTGGTGAAACTTTACATTTTCATATAAGCTAAATAAGAAACCACAGAGGATGAAAAGTGAAATGCAACAACTCTATGACTGCAGAACTGTAGAAAGATTTGACAAAGGTAGAGTTACATCAGAGAACAATAATGAGATTCAAGATGCTCACAGTTCTGTATACAATAAAAAAAAGGAGATGCTACAGTGCTGCTTCAAATTTTGACAAGCAAGAACTGGAACCATGAGTGAAAAGAGCTATTTATACATACAGACAGAATCAAAATTGTCATACATGGAAAAGAATTACCACCATATGAGGACTGGGAATGTAAATAAAATGTTCTAGAAGATCTATACTTAAAGTAAGCAATTTTTATCATCTTTTACCTCAGTAGTTTTTCCAAGTTTCTTTACTCTATTAAGTATTTTGGGGGAAGGGGAGAAGGAGGCCACATAAACTCTCATGACTTCTCCTCATCCTTTCCACCTTTTAAATTTCAGTTAAAAAATTTTATTTTTCTACATTGATACACATTTTAGCGTCCTGAAGAATGGATGTCCATTAAGTTCTTGAAGAGGTGAAGCTAAACCTGCTTATGCTTAGTTTAAAATGAAGAGGCTGAGGAAATCTTATTGTATATCGACTGTTTGAAAAAAAGGCATGACCATTTAGGTGGTTTTTTTCTACATTTTCTTTGAAGGAACTAATGAATCAGTGAATTGGATGAAATTAATGCTAGTGCATCACTAGTGATCACTAGCACTCTGTCCTTGTAAGCTCTGCAGTGACTAAACCCATTAAAGTCAACACAGAATTTTTTTTGCATAAGAAGAGAAAACAGTTTCATACTCCTTGCAGCAGTTAGGAAACTCAATACTCTGCTAGATTTCCTCTATTTCTCATTTTTTTTTAAAAGTAGACAAAACATAAAAAGGGAAAAGTACTGAGGCTCCTGACACAAAGATAACTCCTCTCTGTGGTACTGTATGTCGGAATAGTAACATAGCTCCTAAAATAAAACAGATGTTTGAGATTTTATTATAAATGCAAATAGGCAGGTAAACATGAACAGGTATAGAAGATTTGTTGCAACACTAAACATGCCATAGAAGTCTTCCAGGTAGTCAGAAACATACTAAGTAATCAAGTCTGGAATGCATCTTTTTTAGTCTTTGCATTTTCAAACAAACATTTTCACCCAAAATGACTGAATGTTGTGAGATTGGGAAGTGAATACATTCATTCATCTTTAAGAGTGAGATTTATTCCCCGATATTTACATTTTCCAGTAGTGTCAAGAAACACCGAGCAACATTATTCCCTCTCTAGCAAAATGGTAAGAGTCTGAATGCCCATCCCCAGAGCAGTGCCTGCTGTGTACTGTGTCAATGGAAACACTAAGCAGCTAATTTGCTAGTGACAGTCTGGCCACAACAGCAAGGAACTCAGCACAGGTTAAACAACTCTGCCTACCCTGACTGTGCCAGAGCATAGACATCCTCAAGACAAAGGGTGTCCAAGACATGTTTAATTTATCTCAAAAATCCTCCTCTTACTTTAATCAATTTATCGATATTCGTGAGAATACATGACACACCTCAGCTGCACTTTATACACAAAACCTAAATACCATTGCAAACCCTTCATTAAACAAAACAGTTTTTTACTATAAAGACAAACAAGCATGTTATTGGCAGTCCTTAACTGTCACCTTACTAAACATATGCTCCTTTCAAGTATTTAATGAACAATCAGCAATGTATTGTTGCCCTAACTTGTTACAGCAACTCCTTCTCAGGTTTGTGCTGAAGTTGGTAGGAAAGTGAGGAAGGAGCTGCAACTGTATCTCCTGCCACCTGCTTCTCCCTCTAATAGAAGAAATCCAAAAATAAAAATAAAAAATCAGGTCAGTTCACCCATGCTTTCAAAACATCAGAACAAGGACAAAGGACTCCGTTTGAAAACTACATAGAGATTAAAGCACATCGATGGCCTTACTCCTCTCCCAAAACCTGCTCTTCTCTATGGAACTACATATACAGCACTTCTGTTACAAACTTTGGCCCTGCATATTAAATCAGCATGAAGTCCGTGATGATTTGCTTTAATATTTCAGCTAATAAATGTGACAGCTCAAAAGTGCCACACGAGGTTCAGCCACCCTTGCCATGACACTGATCTCCAGGATACGGCAAACATTAAAAATGCGCTTCTAAAGTGTGAAAATCTCTCTCCACTCATGAATCAACCCCCTCAAAGCAGAGCCTTCCAGGAAAAACAAGCAGACCTTGGAGAAAGTCAATTCAAAGTTTCCATGGGCCTAAACTACAGCCCAGTTTTGCATTTAAAACAAAAGCCAAAAAGACCAAGATGATACTGAACACAATGATCAATCCTGCCAAAGCAGCCATGGTTGGTGGCTATGGTCGGTTTTCTAAGATATCTGTGCTTTGGCAGCATTCCCACTGCTAAGCAAGTGAGACCAGTGGCCATGCAGCCTGCTTGCAGTAGGGTCTTGTTCCACACACACAACTTAAACTCCTACTCCAGTCACACAGAAATGATGTTCTGCAGTTCAGGATAAACCGGCATGAATTATTTAAATTCCTGCAGTATTTACAAGGATTCAAAGATGAAATTAAAAGAGGTGTCTGGCAGGATGTGCTGTGAAAGGGATGGAGGGCTGTACAGGTAAGTAGACAAAACAGCATCCCATCACCTTAAAATATGTCCTACTCTGGGCAGTACTGAAGGTCAGGGACAGCTTCATTAGCCTCTCCAGTAAGTCTGTGCCAGGTTAAATCTGTAAAAAAAGATTTTACAGGCGGAAGTGCCAGAAAGGAGAGAGACAGTATAGAAGGGGAAAGAAAGGGAGAGAATTAAAGCAACTTTCCTAATATTGGACTAGATGATCGTTGTAGGCCCCTTCCGACTGAAATATTCTATTCTATTTCTCAATAATCTCAATAAAGTCAGAGTGAGAATTCACGCCAGTGCCCTGGCAAGGGACCCTGCCAGCACGTACCAGCTACTACAGTTTTCTCCAGCTACTCATCAAGTTAGGTGGTGTGCTTATTTTACAGCAGGAGCACGTAGAGCCCATGCTGAGGCCCTTGACGGACGATTTTTACAGAAATTCTTTTTAAAAGGGTTAAGAGTTGCAGTGCAGATGACTACACTCTTATTGCTGAAGAAATAGAAAAAGACTTTTTAAAATGCTGAAGACAGCAACACAAGTCATGATAATGAGCTGCCTCCGGCCATTCAACTCAGGGAGCAGGAAGCCTTGGAAGTGGCCTTGGACTACAGGAGTACAGCTAAAACAAAACAACACAACAAAAAACAACAGCAAAACCCCCCAGAGTTTATGTTCTCTATGAGTATTCTCACTCGGCTTTCTCAGTACAGGGAAATAAATCCTGCGCAAGTCTAGGACAACGGATCACCCCAGCTCACAGCTGCGACACGTGCTGCCTTATAAAACACAAATGCTGTGTCCTTTTTCTCTTCCTTGCAAGGGATTCAAATACAGCAGGACACAACAGACAGGCAGTCACCTCACAGGCCCTTCTGAACTTCTGTTACAGTTTTAGTTTAATGAATTGAATGTGATGGTGTAAATCCCATCAGTTAGAGTGACCTTTGAAGGGGTTTTTAATTAGAAAAAGTTGCTTAGTCTGCTCTTCTCCTGTGTTTGAAGCAAAGCGTCTTGTAGGATTTGCTGGGAATGTATTTGTTCCAAGGGGAGTAGATCTGATGAAAAAGATAAATTCAAAATCCCATTTTTCCTTGGAAATATGTTGCAACAAATATTTCTCTTCCCAGAAGTAGAGGACACTCCAAGAATTAAAGGGTGGCAGGATTATGCTACAGATGCAGTTATGCTGAGCTCCTACAGAGATGAGTAAATCTGAGTGACCACTTCTTTATTTTTATTAGCAGTTACCATCATGCATTAGGTTGGCCAGTCATCCCAACTTTCTCTCATTTTTTCCCCTTAAATTTGTCTGAGAAATAATACACAAGAATAGAGCTGCTAATTGAAAACAAGCTGTCATTATAGTTTTCATTACCATACACATGCAAGCTTTTTTTCTAAAGCAAGCTATTTAAATTCCTTTGACCATACCTACTAGTAGACAGTTAGAAGTTGCCTCAATAGTGCTCAAATCTTCTTCTTTCCTGTCTAGTTTATAAATAGAAGTAGATTTTAGTTCTTCCCAAGGTCAGAAAAAGAAACATCTCAATAGCTTTCATTTAAACCACTGGAAGTAAGAAATTAGCAGTTCCAAGATCTTCTTATAGGAGGAAAGCACCAAGCTGAGCATGACAAGCATTAATCATTTTCCTTGCCTATGGGAGCAGGCAAGGAGGTACAGCTTTCCTACAGGCTCTTTTTTCCATTTTTCAACATATTAAAAATCAGCCAAAATCCAAGATGTGCAATGTATCTTTAACCCACCAAAAAATTATTTTGATAAGAAGTATTGCTTGCTTCAAAATAAAATAGATTATCATTTGTACTTCACTAATATCTGAACTCAGAATTTAAAATCAGTGTTGACAAATATAACTTAGTATTTAACACAGAAAAGGAAAAAGGAGACCCTAGCTTTTATACTAAAAAAAATAATCAGAAGAAGCAAAAAAAATCAGCACCTGTTTAAAAGCATAAGTAAAAGAGCACATAAGGTAATCAGTGTGGGAGGAGGGAGGAGCAAGAGAAGGC